ACATCTATTGACCATCACTCATTACCCTTGTGAAGGTAGTAGTAAACTATTGTCTTGACACACTGTAGTCCATGTTTTAGCTACACCTACAGTGCTGTTAGGGAGCGAGTTCCAGTATGTTGGCATAGTAACAGTGGAGAAATGGTATTTTCAACTCTGGATGGTGTGCAGCTGGTATTAGTTGCTCATCCCCGGTTGTCCCTGAACTGATTGGCTGGCTTGCTAGGCTATTTCAAACAGTAGCCAAGAGTGACTTTGCTGTGGTTCTAGAGTTAAATGTAGGTCAGACCAGGTAAGGATGGTAGATTTCCCTCCCTCAAGAACGCTGTCATAATAACAACCTATCTGTTCACCATCCAGCAGTGGTTGTATGGTTACCTTTAGGTAAGCTCTTTGAATTCAGCATTTTTTTTATTGAATTCAAATTCACCAACTGCCATTGTGAGATTGCAACTCATATAGAGCCTGGGACTCTGGATTGCTAGTCCAGTCACAATAACACTACACCACAGTCTCCCTTCTGCTTTTGTCCTTCTAGGTGGTAGAGGTTTGGGGCTTGAAAAGTGCTCTCTGAGATTTGCTAAGTGGTTGCTCTGCAGGCTGTAGATGAGATGTTGAAGGTGCAAAACATAGTGCTGATCAGGCAGTTGTTTTGTCTCAGATAGTGCTCAGCTTCTCACTTATCTTCTGAGTACTTTTGAATTCCTGAGGAAATGTTTCCTGGTTTCACATAACCTGAGATAGTTTAGGAATCAATGCGTTTGTGCCTTCAGTCTTGTCAAGTTCACTTTGTACTGTACCTGACCCTGATGCCCTACTTCTCATGGAGACATAGAAAATAGGAGAAGGAGTAGGCCATTTAGCCCGTTGAGCCTACTGCACCATTCATTATAATCATGGCTGATCATCCAACTCAAAAGCCTGTTTCTGCAGCACCAAGTGTCACCAATCAATTTAGGCTTCTCAGTTGGGTGTACTTGCATTTACTGAATTTTACGCATTTGCACATGGGCTGCATGGCCCTCTTTGCACACAGAAAGCTTACACGCACTGCATTCTGAGAAAGGGTCACCGGACCCAAAACGTTAACTCTGTTTTCTCCTTCACAGATGCTGCCAAACCTGCTGAGCTTTTCCAGCGACTTTGCTTTTGTACACGCACTGCACCTGTTTCAAATTAACAAAATAGATAACAAACATTTGCTGTTTTCATTTCTCGGGACAAATTCCAGTGAATACAGGCCCATCTTCTTGGACTGCCTTCAGTTTTTTTTTTCCCCTACCAGGATCTTGAGTCTTTGAAAATCTTCCTCAAAAGGCAGTGGAAGCAAGGACCTTGAATATTTTTAAGGCAGAAGTAGTTAGATTTTGGGAACCAAGAGGATGAAACATTATTGGACAGGTGGCAATGTGGATTTGTGGTTACAATCTCACTAGTTACTATCTTATTAAATCGTGGAGAAAGTTCAAGGGACTGAATGGCCTACTTCTATTCCAAGATTGTATCTTGTATCCTTTAGAGGGAGCTAATTTTTCCATTTTAGACTCTCCTTAAATTTCTGTTAACTACTGATGTGAAATTTAATGCCTTTTTTCATTTACTGGAATGAATCTTTGAAAGTCGTTATTTCGTAAAATGTCTTCAGCATGCCCATTGACCCATCCCTTAAACTAATGTGCTAGTTCACTTTTGCTAGTTTATTTGTTGTCTTTTTTAATAATTATCCTTATGTTTAAAACCCGAGTCTTTAACTCACACTCTAAATTTTACTATCAGTTTGAGGGATAACCATGTTGTGATCACAGTTACCTGGCTGTACTTTTACTATGAGGTCATTCATCCCATCTTGATGCATATCCATCAGATCTGCAATAGCTTGCTCTTCTGTTGGCTCCAGAAGTAGCCCATTTAAGAATCTATTCTGAAAGAACTCTTTGATCTCGTTTTTCTAGGATAGCTTTACCAATCCAATTTATTCAATCTATGTATAGTTTAGAATTGTACGTGATTATAGCCATACCTTTCTGAGGTTGCAGAATTGCTCACCAAGCCGGTGTGTTTGATTGCTAATGTGTTGTCACCCTGCTAGGTAACATCATCAGTGCGCCTCCACTGAAGCTTTGGTGTTCTGTCTCACTTGTTATTTATATGCCTCGGTTTGCTGGGGTGGTTGGTATCACTTCCGGTTCTGTTTTTCAGTAGTTTGTATATCGGACCCAGTTCGTGTGTTTGTTGATGGAGTTCCGGTTGGAATGTCAGGCCTCCAGGGATTCCCTGGCATGTCTCAGCTTCATGTCTCAGTTTGGCTTGTGTTATTATGGATGTGTTGACCCAGTCACTTTTGTGTCCTTCTTTGTCCGTGTGTATTGAGATCAGTGAGAATTGATCTTGTCTCTTGGTGGCTGGTTCATGTATCGTTATTGCTCGTTTTCTTCCAATTTGGCCTATGCAATGTTTATCTCAGTCCTTGTATGGTATTTTGTATATCTTATTGGTTGTGGGTATGGGGTCCTTTACGTTCGTCCATAGCTGTCACAGGGTGGTTGGTGGTTTCCGTACAATGGAAACTTAAATACTTAGTTGACAACAGTATCTACTCCATCCACTGCTCCCGAGAATTCCTCAACATCATCAAGGACACCAGAATAGAAGAGGACAAGATAATGGTATCCTTTGACGTAACACCACTATTTACATCCATAAACATCGATCTAGCCAAAGAGACAATTGCTACACTGCTGGACAAATCAGGAAGACAGGCATCCCATGACCCCAATAGCATCAACAAGGACAGCACTCTGAAACTACGGGATCTGTGCCTCACAACCCACTTCACCTTCAACGGCCGTATATTCAAACAAATCAATGATACACCAATGGGATCCCCAATATCAGGACGGATAGCGGAAGCGGTAATGCAAAGAATAGATTAGAACAGACAGCGCTCCCTACTATCCAACCCAAACTCTGGAGCCTCTATGTAGATGACACCTTTGTAATTATCAAACACACAAGACTGGAAGAAACCCACTGACACAAACAACATCCTCACTGGAATAAAATTCACTAAAGAAGAAAAGAACAACCACCAACTACCCTCCTTGGACATAATGGTGGAACGTAAGAACAATGGGGAACTCCAAACTAGCATATACAGAAAGACCACACACAAGGACCAGATATTCAATTACACCAGCAACCACCCAACACCCATAAATGGAGCTGCATCAGGACATTATTCAAATGAGCCAGAACACACTGCAGTGAGCCAGAATTGCGCAAAGCAGAACAGGAGTTTTTAAAAGGAATGGATACCAAAAAAGCATAATCCGCTGTTAGCTCTGCGACAGACCACAACAAGAAGACACATCACAGCCAGACACACTAGTCACCCTACCTTTCATCAGGGACATATCAGAGATGACCACAAGACTACTCCTACCCCTAGGTATTAGGGTAGCCCATAAACCAACAACCACCCTGTGACAGCTAAGGTCGAACGTAAAGGATCCCATTCCCACAACCAACAAAACCAATGTAATATACAAAATACCATGCAAGGACTGTGAGAAACGTTACATAGGCCAAACTGGAAGAAAACTGACAATAACGATACACGAACACCAATTAGCCACTAACAGATATGACCAATTCTTACTGATCTCCATACACATGGACAAAGAAGGACACAATTTTGACTGGGACAACACATCCATAATAACACAAGCCAAATCAAGACATGCCAGGGAATTCCTGGAGGCCTGATATTCCAACCGGAGCTCCATCAACAAACACATTGAACTGGATCCGATATACAAACCACTGGAAAACAGAACCGGAAGTAATACCAACCACCCCAGCAAACTGAGCATATAAATAACAAGTGGGATGGAACACCGATGCTTTACCAATGGCGCATTGACGATGTTACCTAGCAGGGTGACGAAACATTTGCAATCAAACACCAGCTCAGTGAGCAAGTCTGCAACTCATCCTCGACCTGAGCTACAAATTTTCTCAAAAACAATACCTTTCTCCCAAGGCCCCACTATTCTTTCTATATACCTCATCCTACGGTGTACTTGATGTAAAGGGACACACAAACTACTCCCACAAGTGGCTTCTTAGTTTTATTCTTTCCTATCTCTACTCCAATCTCATTCTATATCTTGATGTTTAATCTGGGATGATCTCTCAATGATACAAGTGTTATCCTTAATTGACAGAGCTCCCTTCTACCTTTCTCCTAGTTTGCTGTACTTCTGAAATGTCATATGCCCTTGAATATTCAGGTCTCAGCCTTTGCCACCTTGCAGTTATACATCTCAAATGGCTTTCAAGCCATATATGTTATTTCTTTTTCAGCTGTTAATTCATCTTTTTTTGCTCCAAATGCTATCTGCATTCAGAAACACCGTCTGTTCTTTCTGCTGCAACCTTTGGCCTATTTGCTGGTGCATTCTTAAGTTTATATGCTCTGTCCCTTCCCACTATGTTTATAATTTCCCTGATTGCTAGTTTCCTTTTTGGCCTTGACTTCTCTCTTTATTTTATCATACTTTCTTTCGCTTGGTCCCTCACCCCAACTATTTGATTTAGTTTGGAGGATGAAGTTAACAAGGATAAGACGTTGCTTATTGTAGAAGCTGGTGAAGAACAGTGAAGATATCCCAATGAGAGAATTTTTTATTGTACGTGACTGGACAGTCGCAATAAGGATTTTAAACGAACGTTGAGAGATGTGGAGTGAAGCAAGGTGATCAGAGGAGGAGAAAATGCCAGTGAGTTGGAGAATCAGGCCAAGGATATATTTAACAGGATTTTGGGTGGAGATGGGAGAAAATGTAAAGATCCACTGTGTCCTTGATGTATTGAAGCAAAGAGCAGCCATGTACCACATGCTAGTTCTAATGCTCTTGCCTCGCTTGCACTGCCTGTCATTAAGGTTTCTTATGCTTTTCCTGCTGAATTTCACAGTAGTCATTGTGTTCTCCTCACAGTTGGACATGCAACGCGGGGTCCACGGGCGCCTGATGGATAATTCCACAAGTGTGCGTGAAGCGGCTGTGGAGTTACTAGGTCGCTTTGTGCTGAGCCGACCTCAACTCACTGAGCAGTATTACGACATGTTGATCGAGAGGATATTGGTATGTCTGTTTCCTAGCTGGCTTCATGTCAGATTGGGTTTTTATAGCGATGTTGAGAGTTAAGTTGGAGGTAACTGGAGTGGGAATTGGTTTTGTAAAGTTCACCTAGATAATGTCAAAAGGTGCAAATTAGTACCATACACTAGTTCTGAACTTTTCTGTCTGAATAACAGTTGCCACTAATAGTGGTTATCAGGGTGGGCTGCAAGTTTCCATAGGTCAGGAGCATCTTGAAGTTAATCTGATCTACCTTAGCAAAATGCTCCAGTTGCTGGACATCTGCAATAAAACAAAAAATGCTAGAAATACCCAGCAGATCTGGAGATGTTGTTTCGTAACTCCAAAAAGTTAGAAATGTAGTATGTTTTGAGCAAGGTCCATTACTATATGTTGGTTAATCTGAGTGTTTCCAACACTTGCAGAATTTTTCTTTTATCTTTAAAATGGTCGCATCAGTAATGTTTGAAATCCTCGGTTCATGAGGCAAGTGTCTGTCTACAAGATGACAGTAAAACTTTCCAAGTTGATGTTTTGCTGATCCACTACGTATGTTTGTATATGACGCAGCCTTAAAATATACAGTGATGAAACTGCTGGCAGGAGCATGCTGCTCCTCTGTTCACACTACATCTAACCTTGACAGTCTGATATCGTTTGAGTTTGGGTAAATAGCAATGTGTAAGTCATTTCATAAGTTGCCTCAAAACTTTGTGCCATCAGATCTCTATTATTACTAACAAAGTAATAGAATTTTAAAGAGCAATAACCATTCAGTCTATCTGAAAATGCCGTTCTGTCATCTTCACATTGCATTGCCTTTTCTTCATTTAGCAGAGCTATGAGGAAAGAATAGGTTGGAATTAACTAATTAGTTGGAGAAAAAATTTAGGACAGTTTGGTTTGGTGAATCAAATAGTGGTTTACTGTGCTATATCATTCTCTGCTGTTTTGAGGAGTTGCTTGACGTCCAAGTAAGAACTATTCGAGAGTGGGAATGGGCCCTTTGTAAGAAGATAGAAATTTTAATAGGTCTTTACATTCTGGGAAATCCACACTCTTCTGTGCTTTTCTGAACTTGTCTCGTCCTTTAACAAATAATCTCTTGCAGGACACTGGTATCAGTGTGAGAAAGAGAGTTATCAAGATTCTACGTGACATCTGCATTGAGCAACCAACCTTCTCTAAAGTGACTGAGATGTGTGTGCGAATGATTCGTAGAGTCAATGATGAAGAGGGCATTAAGGTAATTTTACGTAGACTGTTCAAATGTATTTGCCCAACTTCATGTCTGTGTAACTAGAGTTAGAATGCCTTCATTTAACTTTTCTTCCTGTACAAAGTGTTACTGCAGCCTCAAGGAGGGATCTACTTGGAATCTCTGTATAAACTAATCTAGGTCACAAAAGAGATTGACCTCCCCATTGACAATACACTGATTTGCATCAAGTTGTAGAGAGTTTGGGTTTTTATTTGTTTATGGAATGAGGGCTTTGCTGTCTGGGCCTTTATTGCCCACTGTAATCGCTGTGGAGGCGGTTATGGAATCCCCACAGTGTGGGAGCAGGCCATTCGGCCCATCTAGTCCACACTGACTCTCTGAAGAGCATCCACCCAGGCCTGCCCCTACCCTATCCCTGCATTTCCCACCCTAGACACTTCAGGCAATTTAGGTGGATTGGCCGTGCTAAACTGTGCATCTTTGGACTGTGGGAGGAAACGGGAGCACCTGGACGAAACCCATGCAGACACGGGAAGAACATGCAAACTCCACACAGACAGTCACCTGAGGCTGGAATCAAACTCTGGTCCTTAGCTCTGTGAAGCAGCAGTGCTAGCCACTGAGCCACCAATCATGGTGGTGAAATGCATTCTTAAACTGTTGCTGTCCTGGGAGTACAGGTACACCCATAGTGCTGTTTAACGTTTGAGGATTTTGACCCAGCAATAATGAAAGCATGGCAGTATGGTTGAAATCAAGATGGTGTGTGACTTGGGAGACTCGCGCACATCTTTTGCCTTCGAGATGACAGAGGGCGCAGATTTGGAAGAGGCATTCGGAAGGTCTTTGAACTGTTGGAGTACGTTTTGTAAATGGTACACATTGCTACCACTGAGTGTCAGTGGTGGAGGAAAGAATATTGAAAGTGGTGGATGTAGTGCCAAACAAATGGGCTGCTTTGTTCTTGATGGTGTCAAGCATGAGTAGTGTTGGAGCTGCACTCATGCAAGCAACTGGAGAGTATTCCATAAAACTCCTCTTTCCCCTGTGATTGACCCCTATGATTCTAGAATTCTAAGTGTAATAGAAACAGTGTCCAAAATACCAATCCTTCCTTGTGGGACCGCACTGTAAAATTCCCCCTCATCTAAAATATTTTCCGTTCACTTCCAGTCCCTGACCGCTGATCCCTTCTCCAGTTTCATATCCATGTTTTTAATATCTTTTTACTACCGTGTATTTACATTTTCTGAAGTTTTTTTATATGTGGAATTTTATCAAATGCCTTCTGACAGTTCTTCTATAAAACTTGTAATACTTATCAATGTTGACTTACTCTCATTTTCCCAAGAGTCACCAAGTGAGAATTCATTTTATCTTTGTGTGAATAATCTCCAGTCAAGTTTCCAACATTGATAGGCTGTTTTGCCTTCAGTTTATCCCCTTTACAAAATTAGGGTTATTGTAACATCTGTAACCTACTATTTTTCTGAAACCATTCCCGAATTCTCCCTCATTACCATTTGAATTGGGGCGAACAGATGTTTTATATGAGATAACAAGGTGTAGAGCTGGATGAGCACAGCAGGCCAAGCAGCATCATAGGAGCAGGAAGGCT